GGAACCTGCTGGGCCCCCGCGCACCTGCCGGCCCCTTCCGCGCCGTCCACCTCCCGCGTCCGGCTCTCCCCACGCGGCTTGCGTGGGAGCAAAGAGGAAACTTCTGCCATCGGTGCGGGGCTGCCCTGGGAAACTCCTGCTCCTGCCCTCTGTGAGCCTCGCGCCCTTTGCAGGGCCCTCCAGGGGCTGGCGGGTGGGCTGGAGGTGACTGGAGGGCAGGCTCGGGAGGGGAGGCCTCCCCCGCCCCGAATGGTCTTGTTCTTGTTGTTTGCCCGAGGCTTGAGCGCTTATTGCCCTTGATGGAAATCTTTGACTAGTGCTCCTCAAAGGGAAAAGTAAGTCCTGCCTGTTTCCCAAAGTTCTCTACAACCCTCTTTAGGACCCCTGTTTGCTTCAGTTCCAGGGAGATTTTTCTCCCTGTTGTGCAGCTGGCTGGTCACTAATGGGCAGTCATTTCACTTTCTGAACTCGCTGGAACCAGCTTTAGCCTGTCTTTATTTCCATCCCAGTCACAGTTTATTAAGTGTCCCTAATATAACCCAAAGGGCATTTGATGTGAACTCAGGCAAAGTGAATTGTGAGACTGAAGGTGTCTTGGGCACTGACGGCCCCAAAGCCAGAGATACCAGCGCTCAGTGCTGCTTTTGACCCTAGGAAGTTCCTGCCCGGATTTAACATAATGCCTAACTGGCCTTCCAAAGGCCTCCCCCTTCCAGAAAGCAGAGGAGTGATTGGGTGTAAGTGATGTATCAGCAGGGTTTTATTCACAGAGGTAGGAGGTGGCAAAAAGTGGTCCTGTGGACTGTGGCTTCCCTGCAGACCCTGATGATGTCACCAAAGGGAGGCAGCTTTGGGGAAGATGCCACAGCCTTTTGGGAGGACGTTAATTCCTTGCAGAAGAATAAGTGGCTGCTCACAAAAAATTGCTATATCACTATTCCATAACGAACCCTCATAAAAAATGCTACAACGGGATATGTTTTCAATGTAGTGTGCTTTGCAGTTTTGTCTGAATTTAGTTTGCAGCCAGTAAGTATCTTGACATTCCTTACAGATGAGTTTGAAGGTGACCTTGTATTGAAGATAATTATACAGTCTTTAAAACTTCCTAGAGACCAGAAATGTCCCCAGTGGGTAAGAGTTGTCCTAAAGCATGAGAGGTGCAGTTTTGACATCTACTACTGAGATGTAGCCTTATTGGTGCAGCATCCCTGGTATCTTTTAGGGTTAGTATTGTGTGAAGGGAGGAGGCTTAAAGTTGGAGGTGAAAGGTGCTATAAAGGCATCCTGGTTTTGGGAGTGATTATGTGAAACCATGGATGATGCAGGCCATAGTCTCTCTCTCTCTCTCTCTCTCTCTCTCTCTCTGCTGGGGATTGAAGTCAACCACATGCATGGAAGCCCAGTGCAGTGCCACTGAGCCACATGTCCAGCCCCACCTTTTTTTATGGGTGCTGGAAGTTCAATGCCCTGGCTAGCAAGGGCTCTTTCACTGAGCTACACCCCAGCTCTTCTAGCCTTTTTAAAACTTCATTTTTTGCTGAGGGTTTTGGCTTCACAGAGGTCGATTTTACAAAGGCCGAGGTGGGGGTTACTGCCTACATCTCTGACTCCCCTCCCAACTCTAAAGACAGGATCTTGTCTTTTTCTTTGGATTTTCTTTTCTGTTCTTTCGTTTTGTATTTTACTTTGGACACTTTCTCGCTTTGTAGAACTTCTGCAAGTTGTGTGACCTTACCAGGGCAATGGCCTTGTTCTGGTGACTTTTATTTCTTGGCAAATAAGGATGTTGGCTTGAAGCAAGTAGCTGTCAAGTGCTGGCTCTTAACCCCCCACACTTCCCATCTTTTTTTTTTTTTTTAAATTCAAAGCTAGGAGTGCGTATGTTGTTAACTGAACATGGTCTGAACAAACATGAAATCATGCAGTTCCCAGGTGAACGGGGCTGCCTGCTTCTCAGTGTTGCTGGAGAATCACACAGGCTGGCAAAAGGAAAGAGGCAGGGTCAGCCCCACACTGTCTTCTGTGGGCAGCAGACGGCCACAGGGAAGACTTTGCCAGGGTGTCCAGAGCAAGGCTTCTCCTGAGAATTGGTTAGACACTGTTGGGGTGTGTGTCAGCTTTGTGTCTCAGAGACAGACGTTTACGATGTGTTCAAGGAACAGATTGTACCAGGGACTCTGTTTATGCAGTAAAGCAGAATCAACTAATCTGTTTCAAAACCTGGGACCCACAAGGGGAGGAGGGTTATCAGAATAGGGCATGGTACTTTGTTTCTCACACCTGTTTCTCTGCAGTGCTCACAATTTAGAGATCTTAAGTGAGCCTCTCCTGCTCCCAGTTTGATCATGTTCTCAAGGATTTCTTTTTTCCCTTGGTGAGGATTCAGTGGAGCGCCTCTGAATTCCCAGCTATTCGGGAGACTGAGGCAGAGGGATCTCTTGAGCCCAGAAATTTGGGGCCAGTTAGACAACATAGTGAGACCCTATCTCTTAGAAAAAAATTTAGAAACAAATTCCTCAGCCACATGCTGGTGGGAGGCTGATTTTATTTTGATGTGGTGGGGGAGTTTTGTTTAGAGGTGAAAGGAAAGAATCTTTGATCATCTGAAGATTTTACAGTTGGCTAAGAAACACTGAATTGAAACCAAGTTTCTTCCTCCTCTTTTTGCATTTTGGAGAGATCACTGTGAGCCTTACTATAACAATGGTTCTGGGCCAGTTTTCCCCGTTTCAGAAGACCTCGACTTGAGCGAAAAAACAGTGGGTTACCGAGTTCCAGGACAGAGTTGTAACTGGCCTGAGAAGTGACTAGTAAATAGAAGAGTTGATTAAAAAATAAAAATTGTTATCGCCGTTATGATTTTGTCTTACTAGGAATTGAACCCAAAGCCTTCACACGGAGATACATCCCTATCCTTTTTATTTTTTATTTTGAGACAAGGTCGCTCTCAGGAGTGCACCATCATGATGGGCTGAAAAATTACTGTTCAGATGATTCTTCTAAAAGTAAGACTTTATGAGTAGTCGTCTGTGGATTGAAACCAAATGGCTTCAAAAGGCCACTTCCCTGATGCTAGTCTCTCTACCACTTAGGATTCTTGAATAGAGATGATGGACTTGATTGACGAGATCTCCTAGAATCTGGAAAGCGTGATTTTGAGCACCCAGGAGGCTTGTGGCCCCCGGGAGCAGAAGCCCCACAGGCTGCTGGCTGTGATCTTTGGAGCTGCCTCTCATTTGCAACTAAGTCCAGCGCAGCCCCTTTGCTCAGCCTGTGGAAGGCTCCCTGCGCCTCCCCCTGACTGTAGCTTCCTGTGTGTTGCAGTGATGTACTTGCTCTGCCCATCTTCAAGCAAGAGGAGCCCCAGCTGTCTCCTGAGAACGGGGCCCGCCTGCCGCCCCTGCAGTACGTGCTGTGTGCCGCCACGTCACCGGCTGTGAAGCTGCATGAGGAGACTCTGACCTACCTCAACCAAGGTAGTAGCTGGAGCTTAGGGCAGGGCGGAACAGGTGTGGGACGGTGACACTGGGAGTAGGGGGAGTAGTGCGAAAGACCCAAATGGGCCTCATTCGTGGTCCCAGTGGATGAGGGGGTGCTTGGGAAGGAGAACAGGCTTTGATATTAGACATGGGTTCAGGTTTCCTAGCCGCGTGACCTCCCTGAGCCTCATTGTTTTCACCCAAAACGTGGAAACATGGAAAGCCAGGCATGGTGGTGGCTCATGCCTGGGATCCCAGCTACTCAGGTCGCTGAGGCAAGAGGATTGCTGGGGCCCAGGAGGAAGCCGAGACGAGCCAGGGCAAGATAATGAAGCCTGTTTCCAAAAACAGAAGCCTCACTGTATTGTGAGTACAGGCCGCAAACGTGGAGACCTACGCCCCGTCCCACACGTCGCCCTCGCGGTCACGTACAGTGCCTGGCGGCTGCTCCCGCTGTCTCCTGTGCCTGCTGCTGGTGTCCTTCTGGGTGTGGGCTGAGCACCCTTGCTTGACGAGGTCCGCTGTGTGGCAGGGGTGCCAGGAAGGCCAGACTTGGTTCCCCTGTGCCGGGCAGAGGCCCTTTGGGCCTGTGGGGATAAGATTGCTGCCACGTCTTGGGAGAGTGAGCTTCGGAACTTGAATTCCTGCTGTAGTGCTCTGTAGCCCTGCTTTTGAGTCAGTTGTCTTTTCTCCTTTTCATGAGTAAAAGGAGTAGTGTGAGTTCTCGTGAATTTAAAAAGTGGGAAGGAAGTGAAGCGCGTGGTGTGGGAGCAACTCTTCGGTTGCTGGTGCTCTGCTCAGAGGACGTGGGCAGTGTCCTGGTGGGTGCCGTTTCCGGCATGACTGTGTGCATCTGGCCTGCTTCCTCCTCCACCATGTGTCAAGGCCTCCGGGCCTCCTGTTCAACGGACCTGCAGGCAGCTGTGTGGCATCTGGTCTGTGGCTGGCGCGTGGCCTCCTCCGCTCTGTGGAACTTTGCCTCCTCCTTTTGGGAAGCTGGCTGGGGGTGGAAGTCCAGTGTGATCATCAGGGTTTGTGTGCTGAACTCCACAACTTCTGAGCCAGGGGATTAGCTGGGGGTTCACAGGAGGCTGCAGCTAGGGCTCCTCCTGCAGGCAGTGCTGCAGGCTCTGTCCGTCTCACCAGCTAAGCTGTCGGCATCGGTGTCCCCCTGTGGGGATCGCCCTGAGGCTGTACTTTGTCCTGGAGGCCTGGCCCACAGAGACAGGTGACCAGCCCAGGCTGGACAGTGACTCTTGTCTGCGTGGTTTGTGCAGTGGCCCCTGCCCTTGTCCTGTTTTTTCAGGCGTGCTGCCGCGTTCTGGGTGTCGGCTGTCTTCCTTAACTGGAGCGAAGGAATCGCGGGACGTTTTCAGAGTCCACTGACCTGATGTTCCTGGCCACCTCCCGAGGTGCGACCAGACAAGAGTGTTGTGTGTCTGTCATCATTGCCTGCCTGGCTCCCACTTTGAAAGGCCATCAACTGGGTTCTCTACTCCCCCTCTTCATTTTTTTAGCTAGCCAATTTGGGACAACGTTTGGCTTTCAACAAACTAGGTCTTTTAAAGGGTTTTTACAGAGAACTTAGAGCTGGGAGTGTAGCTCAATGTAAGACGGCTTTGTTAGCATGTGTGATGGCCTGGGTTCCATCTGGGCACTAGAAAATAAATAAGTGAATAAATTACCCTCTTGTAGTTAGATGAGGGGAAGAGTTACCCTGTGGCGTCATTGTCCCGTGTTAATTTCATGTATTTGCTTTAGAAATTTTTACTTATTTATTTTGTTGGGTTTGTTTTCTCTCATGAGATGGAACCAAATCCTAGCCCATGCTAGGCCAGTACTCTACCGCCAAGCTACAACCCTGGCCTAGAATTCTATTATAAATGATCTGTTGTGAGGTGTCATTCCCGGCTGGCATGTCGCTCAGTGGTAAAGCCCATGCCAGGCTCAGGGTTTCATCACTGCACCACCAAAACCAAACAAAAGAAAAGTTTCATTCTAAAGTTCCTGGAAATGCCTATCTTCAAACTAGCTTAATCGTTTTCGAAATTCCATTGAGTAGTTTTTTAAATTTTAACTCTGAAATGCTTTAGGAATTTGTGGTACAATGTAAAGATTTAAGTTTCCTTATTTTTCTCAATAGCTAACCTACTAGTGATTGCCTAATTTACCCTTTTCTTACTGGCTTAAAATATCACTTTGAGCAGTATTCCATTTTATAGAAAAACCGCATTTTCTTTATCCAGTTTCCAACTGATGGGCAAATGGGCAGCTTGCAAGTTTTAGCTATTACAAACTGTGCTGCTATAAACATAAAGAATGATAAATTAGATTTATTCATAGGAAAATGGATACATTTTGAGGATATACGCCTAAGTGAAATAAATAAGTCACATGTGTGTAAATACCAAATAGTTTCCCTGGTGTTAATAAACTGTAATAGTACATAAGATCTTAATGAGATAATTGACAATGTGAAATAGGAGGAAAAGGGCTAAGGTGTAGGGAAAGTGGGAAGGGTAGGGGAAGCGTAATAAGGGAAAGGAAAAAAAATAGGAGAAAATGAAAAAATGGAAATAAAATGTTTGTGAATGGGGAGAGGAGGAGGGGGTGAAGGGAGGGCAGGGACAAGGGGAAAAAATGAGAACCAAGACCTGTCATGTAAAGGTACAAAATCCCAATGATGAATGTAACTGTACTGTATACCTAAAATGTACCAATAAACTCAATGAGGGAAAAAAATCACTTTGAAACATATAATAAAACTAGCCCAGAAATGGAATTTTGTTGATTCATCCCCCATTTCTTATGGAACTCATTATTGTAGCATGAAAATACATTCTTCTGTTTGAGAGTACAAGTTGCTTTAAACACTTTTTCTTGGACATTCCCAGTCATTTCTCCTCCTCCTCTTTTTCCTCCTTTTTTGTTGTTTGATATTAGACTCGGGGCTAAGTACCACACTGAGACCCCTTGCTCCCATTTACTTTTATAGACTGCTTTTACAACCATTAAGATATCCTCTTGTACTTTTTGTTTTTTAACTACGGAGGAGATCATATGCTTAATACAACTGTTTCTTGCTTTTATTAAATAATATTCTTATAATACCTTCCATTGTTAAAATGTCTTAGACAGTATTTCCGACATCTGTGTATTTCGCTGTTTCCTCTTGTTATTTAGGAAAGAATATTGTCGTAACTATTGGGAGAAAATATGCAGTGTAATTATCGTAGTGTCTGTCTTTCATAGAATAGAAGTTTTGTGAGGCCCGTGCTTTGTCCTGTCTTTATAACATCTATTCCCACAGTAGTTTTGATGCCTTCATAGTTGAAGATGCTCTATAACTATCCAGAAAATTATAAAAGTAGGAATGACTTCTCTATCTTTTCTTTCTTCTGCTATTAGCAACAACGCTATACTAGACATGTTTGTATTCTTAAAGTGCTAGGGATTGAACTCAGGGCCTTGCGAGGTAAGTGCTCTACCATTTTTAATTTTTTAATTTTATATTTTTAGACAAAGTCTCATTCAGTTGCCCAGCCTTGGCTTTAATTTTGATCCTCCTGCTTTGGCCACCTGAGTAGCTAGGATTACAGTCATATGGTACCATGCCTAGTTAGATATTTTTTCAACATATTTAAGTAGCTTGTCTTCTATGTCATATAAAAATATATTTTGATCCACTTTTTAAAAGTAGGTTTGAGCATGGTGTTGTCACATACATCTGTAGTCCTAGGTACTCAGGCAGGAGGATTGCAAATTTGGGTAATTTAGGGACTTAGTGAGACCCTATCTCAAAATAAAATTTTCGTACTTTTTTTTTTGTGCTAGGAATCAAACTCGGGACCTTGTGCTTGCGAGGCAGGCAGCAGCACCACTGAGCTAAATCCCTGGCCCCTCAAAATAAAATTTTAAAAGACACCCCCCTCTATCTCTCTCCCTCAGCTGAGGATGTAGCTCAGTGCTGAATGTGTGCCTAAGATGCACAAAGACTTGGATTCCGTCCTTGGTACTGGGGGGAAAAAAGAGTTTTGATGCAATTCAAAACATCATGCAAGACCTTTTTGGTTAATGGAAGAGTTTGCTATTGGTGTTTGTTCTGTTGGGTCTGTGATATTTAGTGTGCTGTTTCTATGAGGCCCTCGTGTGTTGTTTTGTTTGTAGTGATGTGTTTAAAGTTCCCTTGAAGCATGGAAACAGTGCTGAATCTGTTCATCAGAAAGCTGTCAGCTGGCCCTGGTGGCGCAGGCTGTAATCCCAGCACTCCCAGAGGCTGAGGTAGTAGGATCACAAGTTTAAGCCCAACCTGGGCAATTTAGTGACTTACCAAGATCCAAAATTAAAAAAAATAAAAATAAAAATAAAAAAAGAAAAGGACTGGAGATGTAGCTCAGCACCAAGGCCCTGGGTTTAATCCCCAATACTACCTCCAAAAGGTGTTTATTAAGCCACTGGACACGTTTCTCAGTACTGTGTCAGGCCAGTGCTTAACAACTCCACTGTGGCCTGGGCAACGCCTGTCACACATGAGTGTCCTGTCTCTACTCCCAGTGGCTAGAATAGGATGTGGTAGGGATAGTTTGAAAAACAAAGTAAGCCCTTTTCCTCTGAAAGAAGTCTGTTTAAAGGGTGGATACCTGTAGGAGGGAGGCTTGCAAGATTTCAGATAACTTTGTCAGTGGCCTAAGGTCACTGTGGGCAGCTCTTTTCAGAGAGCCGGAGAGCCTGAGGGAGAGGAGGTGACCCCAGATAAGAGACAGCTTTGCAGGAGTGATCTGCTGTGGAGAAAGCTTTGGTATTTTCCACCGGAACAACTCGTGAGTCTTAATTGCATGGTAATGAGTTTTCAGAGGAGTCTTTAATTCATTCAAAAAATAAATTTTTTTTTGGTGATGGGAGGAGGAAGGTGACTTAGAAATAAAAGCTATGTGCAAAGGCCAGTATGGCTTAAAAGAGTTGGTGGCGGAGGGTGCCACTGAACACATGGTCTGTCC